CTTCAACACCGCCTGGCCTTCCTTGTCCAGGGCAGCCGCAACGCTGCACAAGTAAAAGCATACAGGTGGAGCTAAACCCGCTAGTAGGCCACACCTAGCGGTTGCTGTCCCTCACTGGATACGGAGCAGGGGACTGGCTGCTCGCCATCCCCTATATGCCCTCCTTCGGCCGCAACCCCAAGCAATTTTCCTTTCCCCTCCAGTTCAGGCTAGGCATGCCCCTCCCTGTACCAAGCTGCTGTGACTACAACGGCAGAATTGCAATTTTGTACAAGCGTTTGCATAGCCACCTCCTCCGCTGCAGCACTGGGCATGGGCGGACAAGTACTCATAACGAGGTGTGGGATGAATGCATTCGCATGGCGCAAGACGCAGGGCTCATAGTGCAGGAGGAGATTACGCCGTTTAGCCCGGTGGACAACAAAAAAGCTGACCCTGCTATACGGGACCGCAACACGGCCTTTGTCTGGCTGTGAAACATCACGATCACGAACCCGATTAGCACCTGCGATGAGACAGCATCAAAGCGAAGGGGATTGGCAGCAAGAGAGATGGCGGACATGAAGATAGGGATTTACCGTAACGCTGGCTTCTTCCCGATGGCAGTAGAGACCTATGGCTGCCCGTGTGAGGATGTCTCGGTCTTCCTCAAACTACCGGTAGATGCAGCAGCACGCAAACACTTCAACGCCGACCCGCCTACTCACTAGGCCGCGAAGCTGCTGCACTAGTTTCGTGAGCGATGGGCCATTTTCTTTGCAAAAGAACAAACGGTGAGCTATCTCACCAAACTCAACCCTGCGGCCCAAGTTGACCGCTTGTGGGAGGACCGGAGGGGGCTCTGAACTCGGGGGATTGCTTTGCAACTTTCGAGCCACCTACCGAAACTAGGGATGAGCAATATGACGAACTCCTGTTCGGTTCGCCTCGAACACGTTCGAGGCGAACCGAACAGGATTTTTTTTTGGCCTAAATTGTTCGGGGCGAACGTGTTCGGTGTTCGCCCGAACACGTTCGCCGTTCGCCCGGCTCAGCTCGCCTAGGCGCGTCGAACACGAACGTGTTCGTGTTCGACACGGGCCTTCGACAACCACCAATGTGTTCGTCGACGAATAGGCCCGCGACCAATTTTTAGGTCGCGGGCCTTGGTGTTTGGGCTCAGATCTGGCCTTTCGCAGTTAGTAAAGTGCAGATCTAGCATTTCGCCATTGCTTAAGTGCAGATCAAGCATTTCGACGTTGCTTAAGTGCGGATCGAGCATTTCGCCGTTGTTTAAGTGCGGATCGAGCATTTCGCCGTTGTTTAAGTGCGGATCGAGCATTTCGCCGTTGCTTAAGTGCGGATCGAGCATTTCACCGTTGCTTAAGTGCGGATCTAGCATTTCGCCGTTGCTTAAGTGCGGATCGAGCATTTCGCCGTTGCTTAAGTGCAGATCTAGCATTTCGCCGTTGCTTAAGTGCGGATCTAGCATTTCGCCGCTGCTTAAGTGCGGATCTAGCATTTCGCCGTTGCACGCTGGCACTAGATGGATGAAGCAGGGCGGGACTGGCTTGGGAGGTGGGGGGAGAGAATGTGCGACGATTTGAATTTTACTCTATATTGAATTTCCCCCTGGGTGAACACGAACATGTTCGCCATGAACATGTTCGTGTTCGCCTGTTGCAGCAATTCGTTCGCCTCCTAGGGCGAACGGCGAACACCTATTTTCACTCAAGTCGTTCGCCGAACCGAACACTGTTCGGTTCGGCAGAAGGCCATGTTCGTCAGGGGGTGAACTCGAACATGTTCGAGTTCGCCCCTTGCTCATGCCTAACCGAAACCATCGGGATTGAGTGTGCATTGAGGTGCATGCAAGGTTAAAAAATACGGTAAACGTAAATTACGGCTCGTAAATTACGGTCGTAATTTACGGTGGTTTTGGCAAAAATACTGTCGTTTTTTAAATGGACTTTTTTTGCGGATTTTTTTTTTTCCATAAATTCCTAGAAAGCTTACAACGATGACAAGGAAGGCGACAACATACTACACTATAGAATGGTGGTTTTTGCCCTGGTTTAACTTGGTGGTGTTGCGTTGGCGAATGGAATATGCAAAAGGGATGAGATGGAAGGGATGAAGATTGGACGAACGCTATTGGTTGGAATGGTTTTGCGGTGTCGAAATTGAGTTGAGTAGCGCATGCGTGCGAAAAAAACGAACGGGCCGCGAAACGACCCACCGACTTGGCGAAACGGGTAGACTTGTGTTATCCGTTCGCCAAATGTACAATTTGCCGCGTCGCACAAATTTGTACATTTGCGATTCGGCGAAATACACAAACGAGTGTGCGAATGGGCAACAAACCTATTAAACTGTCACCAAAATGCACAATGTCGCGCCTCGAGATTTTGCTGACACTCGCGACTCGGGAAAAAAACACTCTCGAGAGGGTTTGGGGCCACAAAAATTCTCACGAGCAGGTTGACGGTTGGGAAATGTTGAAATTCGCTATACACAAACTCGGTTTCAAACTTTCGGTCGTAATTTACGACTGTATTTTTGAACCAACCTAATTTTGCAACGTCAAATAGTTTTTTACCGTAATTTACGACCGTAAATTACGATACCGTAATTTACGGTAAATTTTCAAAAATACGGTCGTATTTTTTAACCTTGGGTGCATGCATGAGCTGAGGCATGTAGGATGATGGTTGGCAAAAAAGAGGGGGGATTTGTTGTGTGATGCTACCATATGCATTCACGTCTATCTGCCTCTCATCCCATGTTCGCACATTGCATGCGTAGTATGCGTGTGTGAAAGACTCTGTATTTGGCACGGTTTGGGTGTTGTGACTGTGTGGTGACGGTTAGGGTTTTGTTTGAGCAGGTATCTAAAATGACTTCTGTTCGAGAGCTTTCCGACGAACAAAGGATCGCTTCACTCGGAGCACAAACAAGAAAATTACAAACGGTTGAATTTCGTATGCTTTTGATATTTCGTTGCGATCTGCTATGGGTTCTACCAAAAGAAATTTGTGTGGTGACTCTATATGGTGTATGGACCATTGGGGGTTGGAGAAATTTGTCATGTAACTGTAGTTGCTGTCAAGTGGTTGGGAGAAGCCAAATCAGGTTAGCAAATGTGGCTAAGTTGGATGAGATAGATGACATGGGTTGGGAAATTGATAAGGGTGAAAAGTTTGGTTCCTTAAAAATAGGGAATTGATGTGTTTATGAGGTTTCCTTGGATGGTGAATCTTTAGCGACCTTCCCTCTCATTCTCCTTATCCTCTCCCACCTGGTTTGTAGGTAGTCTACTTCTTTTGTGGTTCTTGGGGAGAATATTGAGTTTGAGTTAAGTTTCAGCTCCAGCATACCCCCCAGTGAGCCAAAATTCACCACTAAATATTTACTTCATCTTTTGATGCGATTCATATTGAGAATTTTAGCCTCGGTGTAGAGATACAGCATATTTGAAATTGGTGAAGTTTTAACAGTGTGCTTTTCATCGACGGCATTTCGTGTGAAGCCGACAGTTTTGTCCAGAATTAAAGTCTTGTGATTTTGAGTTTTTCCGGCACATGAACGACCTAGACTGCGTTCTTGATCTCAACAGCCGATCCCTCCGCCCAATCCTCTTAAACCGATCCCTACAGCACCGCCTGCTCCACCCTCTTCTTCGTCGGTGGCTAGACATGAGCAACGGGCGAACACCGAAAGTGTTCGCTTCAACACTCATGGAAATTCGGTTCGCCTGAACCCTTTTTGGAAAATAAGGTGTTTGGTGTTCGCCCACCGTGGGCGGGCGAACATGTTACCCATGGGCGAACATGTCAAATGTTCGGGCGACCGAACATGTTCGGGTTCGCCCACTGCCTCCGGACTACAGGCTTGGGAAATTTGCGTGTGTAAACCCAAAAAGGGGTCCACTAAATTAAACCAGGGCTGACACTTAGTTTCCACCTACTTAACCGTGATGTTTTAAAACCCCTGAGGGGGGAGTGGGTACGTGGAGGGGGGTGGAGAAGTTATAGGGGGTTGGACGCATCAAGACCACATCCCAACTACACATGAGACGACCTGAGGAGGGGTGAAAGATGGCCGAAAAAGATGCAGGGGAGGGCATGGGGGGCGAGCTTGCCCATGGAAAGGGAGCCATCAGTGGGGTGGGGTGTATGAGGACATGTGCTATGGAGCCCCACACGCGAAGAGAGACATCCGGCTTGGCCGACGTCCACAGCTCAGTGGGAGTGGTGGGGTGCAGGGAGTGAGGGTAGAGGTTAGTGAGGAAAGCGTCATGAAGGAAGGCATAGCCTCACAGAGAAGAGGGGCAGAAGGACTGGACAAGGAGACAGCGAGCAGTCTTGGTGATCTTCCAAACACTCTCAGCCACACCGTTTGGCTGTAGGGAGTGAAGGAGGGTTTGAGTTTGGCGAATGCCATGGGGCTGACAATAGGATGATACCTTACTTGCGACACTCACCGCCGCCATCAGGGTGAATGCGGCGAACAGGGTGCCCAAAATGGGTGCATGCCTGCTCGAGTCTTCCAGGTGACGATCGCAGCAGGGGCGTCCGCCTTGGAACGAAAGAGAGAGACGGATCCTCTTGGTCGTTTCCGAAGCATGCATACCTTGTTGCATGCAATCCATTTCCTCCAGCATACCCACACAGTTGCGCGGTGTAAGCAGTGAAGATTTGAAAGAAAACTCTCAATCCAAAATGTCAAAACTTGTTTTCCCACCATCCCATAATGGCGTGTTTCTTTGGAAGGTGCGACAAATGGCCGGCAAGAACCATCCCAACATTGTGCGGCTGCTTGGGTTTGCTGTTGGAGGGGACATGAGAACACGGCCAGAGCAAATTTTGATCTACGAGTTCCTACCCAATGGTGACCTTGAGAAGTGGATCAGTACAGGTACCACCCAGTGCTTCACAAGCTAACTATTGTCCTTCTTTTCTTTCCTCAGTGACAAAATCAACCAGCTAACATTGTCTCACTCGTACGACCGATCTTTGCAGAAGCGCACTGGTGCCTCACCATGAAGCAGCAGCTGGACATCCTCATCGGTGTTGCACATGGCTTGGCATACCTCCACGGCTTTGGCCTCGTGCATCGCGACATCAAACATGCCAACATCCTTCTTGGAGAAAACATGCAGGCAAGCTATTGTTGCGTGATTGGAAGTTAGTTCTGGTACACCCAATCAGAGAGTTACTATGCTTAATAGCATCAAAGCACCATGAAGGCAGCGATGTTAGCATAGTCGCAATGACTGTGGTATGAGTCTTGCGTTGACAAGAGTTTATAGATCCTGACAAGCAGAATCAAATTCCAGGTATCTTCTATCACATAATATTAGACTTTCAATGTTTCTTTGTACTTGTGCTTACTTCTTTTGGTCGTTCCATCCATCCCAAGATTGCGGACTTTGGACTTGTGAGGGCGGAGGAGGGCACCACTGTGGGCACGACTCGAGTGATGGGAACACCGGGCTATGTTGATCCCGTCTACTTCCGCACGTCCAAGGCGACCAGCGCCACCGACGTCTACAGGTGAGCACGTCATGATGTCAACGTGAACTTGCGCAGGCGACATACACACTTTGGCTAGGTGAACTTTTCAACCGGTAAATCAGGTTCGGTGGAAGGGGAATTTTTTCAACCCAACACACATAACGTGGTGCTTACTTTCAATCTCTGTCCCCCTGCTTGTGCAGTTTTGGTGTGCTCATGCTTGTGGTGCTCACGAAACGGAGCCGGCCACTCCATGTGGATGAAGGAGAGTGCGACCACATCCTGTCATGGGTAAGCAATGCGCCAATACCTATCCCTGCCATGCACCACTGCTCCACACAATACCACCAGTGCACCTGGAATGCTGCTTATGATGGTACATATGGCCACCTTCTCAACATGATGAATGGTTCAGCCTTGCACTGTATCATGTTCACGCAGTCAATCCTGATGTGTTCCCAAATTACCATGTCTGCTTCCAAGAGTGCCTTATTCACTGGCTTCACCTTGACGTGTGCCTTCTGTTTACTGTGTCAATTACGGCGTGCCTTTTCACCATATTAGTCTTGACACATGTTTTGATAACCCTGTCATTCTTATAGAGGGCTCATCCCTCCTCCCAACCTTGCTTCTGTTCGTTGGCCTGCTGTTTTCTTTCAACCAAAACCATGCAATCACTCGGCCTTGAAGTGTCTCCTTAAAGCCAAATCTAGCTTCTGCCATGTTGCCTTCCCACCTTCTCTAAATCCATCAGGTGGAGGCGTGCCTTTCCTCCGACCACCCTGCCCGCCTCAAGGAACTCACCATAGATGCCCCCAATGATGCTGTGATGCGCCTGGCCAAGCTGGCTCTGAGCTGCACTGTGCAGCGCAGTGCAGATCGGCCAAGCATGGCGGACATTGCCAACCAGCTGCTTGTTATCAAGAATGAGGTGATGGGAACAGAGGAGCTGAGTGCAGCACTTAAGGTGGACGTGCAAGCCCAAAAGTTGGATTCTGCAATCTCTAGTGAGAAAGGCATGGACGCTTGGCCTCCTACTTGGAAGTTTTTCACAAAAGCGAACAGTTGCTGTAGTAAGGTTTGAAGCGGTAGAAACTGGCAGTACGGATTACAAACCTGAATATCGACTGTTTGAATTGACCAACGCAAGCGACGTCCTGGTGTTGCTCAAGGATGGATACACCAATGACAATAGAAATTCCCTACTCTGTTGCTTTTCTACATGAATTGAATACATAAGGGGTAGCGTTTACAATATGCGGCAGTAAGGAAGGAGCTCTTTGAAATCCAGGTACTACCGTAGAAGAGGAAAACAATATATACCGAAATTCTTAATTTTATGTGTAAATCTAGTTATTATATATATGCATATAGAAGAAACTATATTCTTGAGTTCAGGAGACCATCAGTAACACATTAAGCTTGATACTCAGTATAATTAAGAAATAGTTTGGGTTTTTCACTTTTGGTTCTACACCACATTAGGGGCATCAGTGTGAGTATATGACAAATGTTTCAAACTATCTTAGGTATTCTACCAGGACTTTTTTTTCAAATATTACAAACCTATTTATAGGGGCTGGTTTTTTCAGAACACTGAAAATTAGCGTGACCCACAGTCATTACACTTTATAGTTCCTCCTTCCTAGAGAACAAGAAAATTCCTTAAGCAAAATGGTACTTCCTTGCAAGACTTTGATTACTATTTGAGAAACAAAGGTACACCCAAGCTCGTCAACAGGAATCGAGCCCACTACCACTCCCTTCTCGAATTACCAGTATGTTCTGGTAATATTTCCAAGGAAAGGTATTTTTGTGAGGAATGAGGAATGAAGAAGAGAGGGGGTTGCACTAGCAGCAGTTGCCATACATATAGGAAACCCTAATTGGTTTGTACTCGCTATAGAGTACCCCACTGCAGGCTAGACAATTATAACATTCTGACACACCCCCATAGCCAAAGTGGGGTGTAATCAGCAAAATGAGCAAGCAGGCAGAGAGCAGGAGTTCACAATAGCGAGCAAAGCTAGAGTTAATCACAGCGGGCAAGTGAGGAGGAGGAACTGTGGAGGGAGAGAAGATGGGAGGCAACGACTGAAGCTGCAGAGGCACGGGCACAGGAGCGGCTGACTCAGTGGCTACCGAAGCAAGGGCGACGGACTACTGGAGTAACTGGCTCCGCGGCTATAGACGAGCGGCAGGAGCAACGGACCCACTGGCGACTGGTGCAACAGGCTCACTGGCTACCGAAGCAAGGGCGACGGACTACAGGCGCTGCAGGCGACACGACAGCTACCTTCACACAACCTCCTCCAGCTGCCCCACACCTCTCGACACACACCCCCTGCTCAAACCCTAGTTCTACTCCCAAAGCACCCCCCTTTCACACACCCCCTGCTGCACCCTAGGTTCACTCATACCCCACCCCCTAGCACCACTCCGTCGACTCCCACACACCCACCCCCCTCAGCGGTAGCTGCAGCTGTGGGAGACAGAGGAGGAGGAGGAGCAGGGGAGACCACACACCCGCCACCCCCTACTCGCCACCCCCAAACCCTAACATAGGGCAGGGCGGGATGGCGGGTAGGGAGGTTACGGGGGGGGGGGGGGGGGGGGGCGACGCGCGGCCTCCCAGGGCGCCAAAACAGGCGGCAGAAGAGGCGACGCTCCCCCCCCCCCCCCCCCGGCGCGCGGCCCCCTGAGGTCGCCTCGACAGGCGACGGGAAAAGAGGGGGGGGGGGGGGGGGGGGGGGTGCACGGGTCCCCGGTGCGCCGCGCCAGGCGACGGAGCATGGCCGGGGCGGGGCCGGGGGCAGGGTCGGGGCAGGGCCGGGGCAGGGCCTCGACAAGGCCGCGACAGGGTCGATAGGGGCGGCGACGGGGCTGGTAGAGGCGGCGACGGGACCGCGAAGGGCGACGGGGCCGCTAGAGGCGGCGACGAGGCCGCGAAGAGCGGCGACGGGGCCGCGAAGGGCGGCGACGTGGCCGCGAAGGGCGGCGACGGGGCAGCTAGGGGCGGCGACGGGACCGCTAGGGGCGGCGACGGGACCGTTAGGTGCGGCGACGGGGCCACGAAGGGGCCGCGAGGGGCCTGGAAGGGCGGCGACGGGCCGCGAAGGGGCCGCAAGAGGCCGAGATGGGCGGCGACGGGGCCGTTAGGGGCGGCGACGGGGCCGCGAAGGGGCCGCGCGGGGCCTAGAAGGGTGGCGACGGGGCCGTTAGGGGCGGCGACAGGGGCCGCGAGGGGCCTGGAAGGGTGGCAACGGGGCCGCGAAGGGGCCGCGAGGGGCCGAGAAGGGCGGCGACGGGGCCGCTAAGAGTAGCACACAGAGTAGCAGCGGAAGCAGTTAGGTGGGCCCACCGGCCAGGAGCGTAGATGCTCTGATAGCATGAGACAAATGAGGAATGAAGAAGAGAGGGGGTTGCACTAGCAGCAGTTGGCATACATATAGGAAACCCTAATTGGGTTGTACTCGCTATAGAGTACCCCACTGCAGGCTAGACAATTATAACATTCTGACAATTTTTGCCGAGAGTAATGGCCGAGATCAGGCCTAATTTTTTGTTTTGAGCAACCCTTGTGATCAGTGTTGCACATGTTCAAAAACCTGATTATCAGTGTGACACCTTGTTCAAACCCTGATCCATCAGTGCTTTTCGTGTTTTTTTAAAATCCAACCATGTGGCATCAGTGTACCAGCTTTTCAAACCCTGGTGAATTAATATAATCATGTCAGACAAACAAACCGAGTTGAGTCAGAGGTGATGGTCGCCAATAGTGGCCCACTTCGTGCCAGCACATGTATTGTCGAGGCTGAAATTCCGATTTCGACAGTTGGCAATCAAGAATCCCGGGTTACGAGAAAGGGGGGGTGGGGGAAGTGGGGGGTATGGTACTCGCTTCAGTGTAAAAATCGTTATGAACATCGGTAACCTTGAGGCATCAGTGTGCCCTAAATGTAAACCCTCACAAATCAGGAAATTCCTTGCTCCAAAATATTTTACCCAAGGCCATCACTGTGACTACCAAAAACCACCCTAATAATCAGGGTATCAGGGTGATTTACCTTGATAAACTTAGCCCTGGCCAATATGCTCTGTAGTCTGTACAAAGTAAACTTCGTCCCTCAAAACAACTCAGTAAACAAACAAGGTTGTCTTGAAACAAATCCTTAGAGATCAGGGAGAAACCAGACATCCAACAAAAAAACCCTGGGCCAAAAGGGTTGTTACAATTCCAGTTGGGACTTAGCAAAGTATCGTCTCAGGGTTGATCGCAGGGTAGTGTTGCAACGGAAGTGTTGACCTTAGGTCAGAGTGAATGTAAATGACTGAGATGCATACATCGAGTTTATACAGGAAATACAAAGGAATGTGAAACGACCTAGACTAGCCATATACTCTAAGGGGTACATTCCCTTATTACATTGAATTCAAACTGTGCGGCGCGGGAACCCGTTTCAAAAATATTCCCGCTCTTTTCACTTGCCTGCATCGGTCTTGTCAGACGGTTGCTGATGTCGCTTCGACTCTTCTAACTCCTCGACTTCGTATTCGGTGGATTCGGCTCTTGCAGCATACACGAATGCCTTCTAATTTGATTTCATATCGTAACACTCCACTTGATTTCTAGTGGCGCAGAGGGCTGACTCTGTTGACTACTCCCATAAGGTCGAAGCAGTGCTTGTACTGCTGACGTGGCAGTCGCTTGGTAAGGTAGTAAACTACCATCTTGGTAGTGGGGCAGTACGCAAGGTCAACCTTGTGAAATAAAGAACGAGAATGGATTGACTATGAACGTAGTGAGTACAAATAGGAAACCCTAATTGGGTTATACCCCCTATGGGATACCCCACTATAGCCTACACAAATAAGTAAGCTATAATGTTCTGACACACCCCCATAGGCAAAGTGGGGGAGAACAAGGGGTCACAAGACCAGTCAAGCAAAGCAAAGCAAAGCTCAGGGTGGATCACAAAGTCACCACACATTCCGAGCACAAGTTCAAAGGCCACAAGGCCAGTTCACATGCAAGATCATATATAGAGATATACAAGAGTCAAGCAAGCAAGAACAAGAGTATATATAGGTGAAGGTACAAGCAAGGTCAAGAAGTGAGCAAGTGAGGCAAGACAGGCACAAGACCCAGCTGCGTGCAGCAACGCTGATGATCACAAGGCGCAAGTGCCTTAGTGAAGACATCAGCAGTGTTGGCCTCAGAGGCCACGTACGCAAGTCGCAACTGTCCACGCTGCTGTAGCTCACGAGCAAGAAAGTAGCGGAGAGCAATGTGCTTTGTCCTGTGCTCCAGTCGCTGCTCTTGACACAAGGCCAAGCATGGCCTTGTTGTCTACGTACAGGACTAGAGGAGAACGAGGCGACTCTCCAAGGTCGGTCAGCAGGTAGGTGAGCCAGCGTAACTCCTGTGCAGCCATAGCCCCGGCGTAGATCTCAGCCTCACAACTGGAGCCGAGAACAGAAGACGAGCGAGTAGCCCGCCACGAAACAGAGCCGGAACCAAGGCCGAAGGAGTAACCCTGTGACGACCGCTGCGTAGCCTGGTCGTCAGCCCAAGAAGCGTCCGCGTGCCCAGTGAGGACCACTGGACTGCGCCCTCCAAGCACTAGCCCCATGCCCGATGTACTGCACAAGTAGCGCAACACCCTCTTCGCTGCAGCCATGTGCTCTGGTCGGTGTCTCCCAGGAGCAACATAGCGTGCGAGAATGCTGAGAGGGTATGCAAGGTCAGGTCGTGTGCAGGTCATCAGGTACATGAGGCAGCCAACAAGCTCTTCATACGGGCCACTCGACTCTACGGACTCATCCGAAGGCAGAGCTGAGAGCGAGTGGCGAGTAGGCAGAGGAGTGGCCTGAGGCGAGGAGTACGTGAAGCCGAAGCGCTGAAGGACCTGCTGCACCATGTGTGACTGAGTCAGGGTAATGGTGCGGCGTGCTCTGTCCCGGGTGATCTGCAAGCCAAGGTAGTTGCGCAGTTCACCCAGGTCAGTGCACGTGTGTCTCTTCTGCAGCTCGGACTTCACGTAGGCGAGTCCAGCAGTGTCCGCTGTGGCAAAGACCAAGTCG